GGTAGATTATATGCATTGCTTTGTAACAGATAGAAGTAGACATTTGCTGCCCCATCCTCGGTAGATTTTTCTTTCCGGAAAACTCATCCCCAGAAAAACATTTCTTTTCTGGGGCTTAATTTTCTTAAGTGTACCATTGACATTCTTGATAATTACCATATTCTAGTTCGCTTGTTTGCTTACCTTTTGTCCTCTGAGGAAGGACAATACAGCCTGTCTTCTCTCAATGTTTTCCAAAAGCAATTTTGTATCTTCAGATGAGACTTCCAAATACCTGCTTGAACACAAAAGGACTCTATTTTTCCATTCAATGTGAAAGAATTGTACAAATAACCACACCACTAGATTGTGAAGAATAAATAGCACCCATAAAATATCAAACACATCATTTAAAATTATAGCAATCATTTAAAATCTATCGTCACACTTCAAAAATTTGAATTGAAAAATGTAAGCATTAACATTGTAAAATATTAATAAAATGCCTAGTGTGAATAACTCCCCACCTTATAAATTTTAATTTTGAAGTCCACATATTTTCAGAAAACTACATTTTTCTGAAAGTTTTCATGATGGATGAATTTATACTTTTTTTTTAAAGATTTCATTTATTTATCTTTAGAGGGGAAGGGAAGGAGAGAGGGAGAGAAACATCAATGTATGGTTGCCTTTCATGCATCCCCTGCTGGGAACTGGCCTGCAGGGAACCGGCCTACAACCCTGGCATGTGCCCTGACTGGGAATCGAACTGCGATTGCCTGGTTCGCAGGCCTGTGCTCAGTCCACTGAGCTACACCAGCCAGGGCCCTATACTTTTAAAATTAAACTTGACAATGGAAGATTCAACAGAACCTGATCTCATTTGTTAATTCATAATGCTCTTCCAAAAAAACAAATGAATTGGGCCTTAAAGAGGTGTTTAGTCAGACATAATTCTATACATTTTCAAAGCTCCTTCCTAGGTCAACAATATATTGATGACATTATTACACATTATGTATTTATATTTCATATTTTCTATTTCTGTCAATATGTAATCCAGTATTTATATTTATAAGGCACCAAATAAGATTAAAAATATTTTTTATATTTAACTGTTCAATGAGCCTTCCTAGGTTTTATTTGTGTTAGTAGAAAGCTTATGTTTGAATTATACAGCAAATACTAGACTAAATAATGATTTTGTGTTTGATTTTTAATTATAGGGAGTCATTTATAACCACTCAAGGTTGTTGAATTTTTCTTATTATTTTATTTGTAACTGTTTAAAAGTTTATTTTAAAAAAGCATTTTTATCTTTCTATGTATGTGCTGAAAGTCCAATTGAACTTTCTGACTGAACTTCACTTGTTGTTTCTTTTGAAAGAGTAAAGGAGGTAAGATGGAACTGACTTTTACAAATAAGAGATGTCCAAAAAGAGTGTCTGCTCGGAGGGAAAAGCCAGGCACACCTGTGGTCCACATTCTTCCAGGGGATCAGACTCCAACCCTGTTCACTGCCTTCCAGCTGTGTTGCAATTTTTATAAATTGTACATTCTGTCTCCTTTAGAAGTGATTTAATTGATTTCCTCCACCCTGGGGAAAAGCTAGTTTTGTCTCCACTTGCAGTTCATATTGATAAGTCTTTAATTCCATATTAAGTTGTGCTGTTTGGACTCTTACTTTGAATCAGTTGTAGCCTCTGCCCCACCATGGCTAAAATCTGTTCTTTACCATATGTTCACTATTATTTCTATCAGTCATGATTTTACCATTTTGCCTCTGTCAGCCTGTTGTTTAACCCTTTAAGGAATCCTGCACTGGCCACTGACCTCCTGCCTCAACTGCTGGATGCAGGCTGTGCTGAGGGAGGCGGCTGCTGAGGGGCTCTCTGCCACTGGGACAGACCTTGCATGGATCCTTCTTCCTCTTCCACACACACAGACTTGACCAAAAGGCACTGGCATAACAATGTGTGCCTTCTGATATGCACTTCTGGGGTATTTCACAAGGCTGGGTGAACCTGCACAGGAAGGACCTGGAAGCTCTTTCTATACAGAACTGCTTGGAAAGGACTGTGAAGCACATAAATATAGTCTACTAATTCCAGACTTAACATATCTCCTTAGCCAGATCCCAGAAATTGAGTGAAAAGAGATGTGATTTATCCAGTTGCAGTTTTCCAAAAATCTTATATTTGCCAATATCGCAAAAATATATAAGCGTGTGAATATATGAGAGGGTCCTCCGTATGGCTTGGAAAGGGCTCATCTTGAAATTTGAGCATCATTCTCTTCACAGTCAATCTGGTTTTTTTTCTTTCTTTTTTTAAAGGCTATCTTTTAATGATTATTTTTATATATATTTATTTGTTTGTTTGTTTATTTATTTATTTTTATTCTTAGAGAAGAAAGAGAGGGAGAGAAACATCAATGTGTGGTTGCCTCTCACGCACCCCCTACCAGGGACCTGGCTTGCAACCCAGGCAAGTGTCAATCTGTTTGTAAGTATATGTATGAATGTAGTATCATAAGAGCACAGAAGATAGAGTGATTCATCCTGCCCGAAGGAATAAGAGAAAAACTTTACCAAGGAGATATCTGATCTTGCAGGCAAAAACGAGGAAATGGGTAGAGAGAAAACACTGATCCTAAAAAAAGCAAGAAACACTTACAATGGGTGGATTTAACAGCTTTAAATACAGAGTCCGGCAGAAGTAACAGCTGCTTGAGTGTGGTTGGTAGGGTAATAACACGGGTGTAATATTTATAGTTTTTAATTTGAGCATTTCACCTAAAATGTCATCTGGTGTGATTCAGTGTGATATTGTTATGTTACAGAATTACATGCTTATGATTTTGTAATAAAAGATTTTATAATAAAAAGGGCATTATTTGTGCTTACCCTCTATTTGGTATGGATAAATATTCTGAATTTGAATGTTTATCTCAACTCTAGCTGTTTTTTGAAAAACAACTACATTTAGCAAATATAAATGTAAATATTCTGAGGATAGGCTCTTTTGTTAGATTATTACTGCCTCTATGAAAGTTTGTCTGAAGAATACTTGTCTTGCTTTACAGTAAGAATGGGCCTAAGTATTTAGGCTAGATTTTTAAAAGGAAGATACAAGTTATTTATAATATAGTGTCATTTATAATATAGATCAAAGAATTAATGTATCTTTAATTTCCTGCTCAGGCTCTTATTGCTTTACTATTCTCGTGACTTTACCTCATCTTCCATCTATTTCCTTCCTTTTCAATACTCTATTTGTTAATGAACTGGATGCTTGTGCCCCCCCCAAAATTTATACATATGTGGAAATTGTATCCTCAGTGTGACTGTGCTTAGAGGTGGGGCCTTGAGAGGTACCTAGGTCGTGAGGGTGGCACCCTCAGAAATGAAATTAGTGCCCTTGCCAAAAGAGACCCCAGAAGTAGCTCCAAAACTCTTCATCCTGTGAACTCACAGCGAGAAGTCAGCAGTTTGCAACCCAAAAGATGTCTCTCACCAGAACCTGACTATGCTGTCACTCTGATCTTGGACTTTCAGCCTCTAGATCTTGGACTTCCAGCCTGTGAGAAATCAATGTCTGCTGTTTTTAAGCCACTCACTCTGTGGTACTTGTTATAGCAGCCCAAACTGACCAAGACATCTTTAAGAATTCCCCTTCTCTTCCTTCCCAATCCTTTCTAATATGTCCTCCAGAAAACCTCCTCCAAAAAAGAAACTTCTTTGTATTGTTTTGCCATCATTTTACCCTGAGATCCCATTCTTTTTTCTGTTGAGGGAGGTCACTGTTTTAGCTACTAAATTTAGGATAGCCCATACAGTTTACTGTCCTAACTGGAACATTTCAGAGAGAAGGGGAAAAAAGGGGGGTGAGGATTGGGGCTTTGTTTATTACAACAGCATAATGGACATAAACTTTAACTGTCTGGGCAGTAAAGAATGTATGCCACTCTACCTCAACCTCAAATAACATGGGACCAGAACTCTATAAGAACAAATTGTAGCTCTTAAATTTCCATTGTCACTTCCAAAATATTTTTTCACTGTTCATTAACAATTTATCATCCAGGGAATGGCATTGCGAGTCTAGAACTGCAGTCAACAATTGCAATTATCAGGTGAAATCCAGCCCACTGCTTGATTCTGTAAATAAATTTGTATCAGAACACAGCCAAGTTCTTCATTTATATACTTTTTGGTTGATTTCAGCTGTAATAACAAAGTTGAGTACTTGCAGCAGACACAGAGTGGCTTGTATATTGTAAAATATTTACTGTCTCACTACTATGGAAAAATTTTGCTGATCCCTTTACTTCATGAGCTTCATGAGGGCTGGGGATGCTCTGCCTACACACCTCATACACCATGATTATTTAAACAATAGATGAATCACATAGTAGATGCTTAGTATTTGGTTTATAAATAAATGTTGGCATGCAAAATAAAACAAAACCACAGTAATGAGTAGAGTGTGATATTGTACATGAAAAGACACATCATAATTCAATCAAATGATTTCTGTTTCCAGAATAGAAAATGCAGAATCTCTGTAAGATTTGTCAGTATTTAGTATATAGAAATAGAGTTTATACAAAAGGAAAAAGATGTATTATTAAATAGATGTATTATTAAATTTTAAAAAGTATACTTTTGAAAAAATTGTATATTTACATTAAACCTTTTATGTGCAAAAGAACTTTTTTTCTAGTTAGATAGGAACCCCAACTTAACAACCATCTGCCACTGAATGATGCCCCTCCCCTCAACTGCAGAAGTGACCCTTTTTTCACACACTGAGAGGTTTCAGTCCATCTATTTTTATTTTTCCCTCTAGGACTTCTCTGACTTTTTCTCAAGAGGAAGTTGTTAGGTATGAAGGTTTGAATCCTGGCTTGCTTTCTAGCTAGTTAATTTAGGCAAGTGTCTTAAACTTTCTGTACTTTCCTTAGCTTCTCTTAAAAATAAGTATAGCGGGGCAGTTAGTAGTTAGTGAGGCAGCAACGCGATGCTTCCCACTGAGGGCCTCACTCAGAAGCTGGACCCTGAGGGGATGAAAGGAAAGATGCCTGAGGATGTGATTTCCTCCATAAAGAACTTCCTCATTTATGTGGCCCTGCTGCGAGTCACTCCTTTTATCTTAAAGATATTGGACAGCAAAGAAGGATTGGATATCACATGTGAATGCATGATATGAACAACCCGGTGACAGTTTCTACTCTGCAAAAGAATCTGCAAATGAATAGGCCCAGAAAGATGTAAGAAACCCTTTCATTGACTGGACATAAAACTTCTGCTTGTTAAGAACAAGCTTGGTTGTGGTAACTGAAACCTTCATAGCTAAAATAGAAAACGATCTGGGAAGTGTGAAAAGACATTTCTTATGCTTGTGATATTCAGTCTCCATGAATGTAGCTGTAATTGTAAATAATGCCAAATTCCATTTTCTAGGAAGTATTATATAAGAGAATTATGTCTGCAGTGGCCCTGTCTTGTCAGTCATTTCTGTCTTGGCCTTTATTCTTCTGTCCAGAATGTATTCGTTGAAGAGCTCCTTATCACTAATTATGTTTTATGGAAGCTCACACACAACTGCAACAACCTTTAAGTACAGGAACCATTAGTCTATATTTTTAATAAATGTACCAATTAAGAAAAAAATAAAAATAAGAATAGTCCTCTCCTAGATGCTTCATAAGTTTGTAAAGTGCCAGCACGTTGTCTGATTAATAGTCTTTGATAAAAGTTAACCGTAAGTAAAGTAATATTTAAATTCCCTATCTAAATAGTAATGTATGAAATGTCCTGTGTCTCTATATTTACTGTCCCATGTCTCTATATGACCTTCCCTTTATAATCAAGCTTTTCCCCCCCAGAGATAATTACTGCTAATTTGGGAGTCTTCATTTTCATTCTATGCATTTAAATGGGATCAGTCTCTCCATGCTGCTTTGTAACCTTTTTACACTTGTTAATATTTTATGAACATTTCAATGCCTAAATATTTTTGAACATTCTACATAATATATAATATAAAGAACACTTTAATGGCTGCATATTGTTTCATCTCATGGATATACCATAAATTATTTAATCAAATTGTTAAACGTTAAAGGTTGCTGCTGTTGTTAAGATTGGTACAATGAATCACCCATGACTCAAATTTTAACAATTATCAGCTGATGGTCTGTCTTACTTCAGCTGTATGCTCACCTATTCCTCAATCTACCTTTAAAATATAGGCACCTTTTTAACATCACCGCCATACCATTATCACACCTCAAAAAATTTAAATAATTATTTCTCATCATCAAATATGAAATATCTAAGCAGCACTTAAAAGTCTTATATCTTCTCCCTCTCTTTCCCTTTTTCCCTCTCTTTTTCTCTGAATTGTTCAATTCAACATTCATATAAGATCCATACACAGCAAATGGTCAAAAAGTCTTCAATCAATAAATTCTTCTTCATCTCTTTTTTATAACCTTGCAATTTATTTGTTGGAAAAATAAAATGAATAAGTCAATGAATCTATAGAATTTCTCATGTTCTGCATTTTGCTGATTGCATTATCATGGGTGCCATTTAACATGTTATTTTGTCAGCTGTGTCTACTAGAAATAGGTTTCTAGAGCTCAAATTTTTGCTCAGGTTCAGGTTCCATCTTTTGGCAATAATATTTCATAGGTGGTATGGTTGTGCTGCCGTAAGGTAACACAACATATTGGATTGTCTGACTTTTCTGATGTTAGCAGCCATTGATGATCAATGTCTAGATCCATTCATATATTAGCACTATAAAATCAACATTAATTTATCAGCATTAATAATTAATAGTCAGCATATAAAAGTCATATTCTAATTATAATAGTTTTGCTAATATAAATAGCATACAATAGCTAAAATTTCATAGCTAAATATTTGTTAACAACTATGTGCATATGTTTATATATTTTAAAAATTTGTAAAAATTAAATATCTGGATCAATGTAAATTTACATTTGGAAATTTACATTACCATACATATTGCCCAACTTCCCTTCAGGAAAGTTATACAAACTAGCATGCCAATGTTGAGTTATTTTTGTTTGCCAACAATGAGAAACTCACAGACTACTTATAATATTTTTCTTGCTAATAAGATTAAGCATGATTTCCTTCAATTTCAATTTGCATTTCTTTTTTTATAAATTGTCTTCTGCTCTTTTACCATTTTTCTGTTGGGTATCTATCCCTTTTTTCTATTTTTTAAACATATTTAGTTAATTATTATGAAAATGTCATCTCTGATGTGTGGTCCTACTATGACATGCAAAGACACTGCATACCTACCATATTTGTCAGACTATAAGACACGCTTTCCTCCCTCCTGCAAATTTGGGACGAATCATGGTTGTTAATGCTGCTGTTGAGTTCTGTTTATATTTACATTGGTGAAATATTATGTTATTTATGTTATTAAATATTTTACCACATCTTTTGCTTCATTTTTTTTGCTTATTTTTCTCTAAAACCTAGGTGCATCTCATGGTCTGAAAAATATGGTATATATCATCCAATTGTTATTTGAGCTGTGCTTATTGTTTTTGAAAGAGTAGTACTACTAAATCCCAATACTCTTTTTTGCCTCTACCATTCCAATGAGCTGCTCCTCACCAGGGCCTCTAGGACCTAATTTCCAATGCAAAGGCACGTGTAACAATCCTAACAGTTTTTGAGCATAGTGCTTCCTTTTCCCCTGTCAACTACTAAATCCTCCTGAAACTCTATGATCTACCACTAATTGTGAAAATCACTTATCTTGTCCTTCTGCCTATTTAATTAGTCTTGGTCTCCTTTATGGGTCATTTTGCCTCTGTCAGCAATTCTCCAAATTTCTCCAAATGTTATTCTCCAAATTTCTGTCTAGGTCTTTTTCTCTTATCATTTCATTCCCCAATGAAACCTAAAATGAATGACTCTTACTATAGATCTATATCTAGAGTATGTATCTTTTGATACTTGCAGTGACACATACTAGTACCTTCTGTATATATCTAATTCGATAAGTCACACATAGCCCAAAATTGTTGTATGCAAAACTGCATACATCATTTCTTACCTCCACCCAGCATTGCATACTTTAATTAATGGTCTTACCATTTATCTCACTGGTCAAACCAGAAATCTTATAGTCCTGTTGTTACTCTTGTAATATTGGAGGAATTATGATATGGGAAAAGCATGTGTTTTGAATCCAAACCTACCAAGCATTAAGTCTAGCTCTTCCACTATTTAAATGGTTATCTTTGGCATATAAAAAAAGTATTTTTTGATCTCCAAGTCTCTCTTCCTGCAAAATGGGGTAGCACTAAGTTCTCAGATTTGTGGAAGTAAATATTAATGTATATAAAAGTACCTACTGTGAAATATACAGTAGACCTTCAAAACATAGTAATTTGCCCTCCCTCTCTCTTCATTAATCTCACATCCAATTAACCAAGACCTTAATCTCCATCCTACATGTTTTCAAATCTATTTCTTTTTTTTTTCATCTCTATTACTTCTGCCTTGGATTAGTCCTTCATTATTGCTTGCTTGGACTGGCAATTTCTTCAACTAGCCTTCCAATCACCAGTCATTCTCCAACTCATTCTTTATGACTAGAATGTGCTTTTGAAAATTTATGCCTGACTATATCATGCCATTGCTTTAAGACTATCAATAGTTTCTGATACCTTCAGAAAATAAATCAAAACCTTCTTACTATTACAATTTAAGTAATTACATTTAGTTTCTGTCTATTTCTCCCATTTTATCTCTTGCCATTGCTCCCTCCCTCATCTTTTTCTGTTTTTCCCAAACCATACCCCAAAATGCAATTCTCCAATTCTAACTAAAACTACTTATCCTACAATGAAGGAGTACTTCATTGTAGGATGAAGTACTACACCCTTCTAACAGGGTGAGACAAACTGTCTCCAGAAGAGACTAATCATCTGAGAAATGGAAGCTTTTCCAATGATCTATGCCCCTCTCCATTTGGATAACCTGAATCATTGCCTACAGGATGACACAACCATCCCACATACACTGTCCTGAGAACCATTATCATAGAAAGCTACTGCCATAGGAAGAGAACATGATGTATCCTTCAAATGAGTTGGAGCAGAAAATAGTGTGATAACTATTGTTATAGATTTACATTAAACATCTCATATTGAGTTACCTCTCTTATTTCTCTGCCCACATAGACTCTTGTACATTTCTCCATTGTGATATAGGGGAAATTATATTGTCTTTTAAAGTAGAATCTCTCTTATTAGACTGTGAGTTCCTTGAGTATACCCCAGCTTGTGGTACAGTGACTAGTATATGATGTGGGTTAATACCAATTTCACAAGTGAAAATCGAATCCATATTTATTAAAGGTTCATTCAAAACTCATTGAAATAGTAATAAATCCTATTCTAATAAATTCTATAAAATAATCTAAATTTTCACTACATCATAATTTCATCGTTGTACACTTTCCTATAGCCACAATGAAGATCTCCAAGGAATGCGAACAAAAGAAAGCTGCTGGCCAGCTTTCTGGGCTTTTGCATATGAAAACAATAACTGCATGAAACATAGAAAAGGGAAAGCTTGTTAATTCATAAAACAAACAAGTTCCTGGCTCTTTTGTGAGGGCTGTGTTCTTTGCACGGGTCTGTGCAAAGGACAAATCAAGAACCAGCCTGTGTGCTTGAAGGAAGACCTCTCCTCTGTAGTTTGCAATTGACAGTGGTCGAAGGATGGTGGATGCCCTGTGCCCGAGGCAGGACTGCTTCAATACCAGACTGGAGGCCTTCTTCTACACAAGTCAGAAGGGATATGTTGTGCTTGGAGTAAGACTAATCTGCAGAAATTCATGCTGCCCTGGCAGAGGAAAAGTGGAGCCCAGAACTAGTCACATCACCCATTCGATCTCCCTCCCATCCCATTCCTCCTACTCACAGTCTGGCCACCATTCTCAGCCTTGGAAATATTAAGACTAAACTCATTAATCCTCATTTACCTGTTGTTGTCAACCATCTGGGGAAACCCAACATCCCTAGATTATCTGGAATATAAACTGTCTAGTGCCTTTTCTGAGCCCATATTCCACTCTTCCCATCTCTCCTCACTGTGCCCATGAAACACATGGTAGGTTATTAACAATTTCTTCTATAACCT